TCAAGTCTCTGTGCCAAACTAGTGATCTATTTCTTGAGCTCCTGTTTTCTTTTTCTAAGGAGATTGTCTTTAATATACTCAGATAATGAATCACTTCTGTTTTTCTCTATTGATGTTCACTCACAGTATATTGAGTCTTCTAGTCCCTCTTGCTTTTCTTTTGGACTTTTGCAATTTATGTATAGAGGTTTTTTTTGGCTATCATTTTTACTACTAGTTCATTGCTTGAATTTTTTCTACCATGAGCTGGGTGTTTCAACTATCATTTCCCATGTTTTGTTAGCTATTTTCTGTGAGATTGAGATTAATATACACAGACATATTTATAATATATCTAATATATATACATACATATAATATACATATATGCATATGTACATATATATGAAGTTTTTTCCTTCTTCCATCCTTTTTTTTAAAAAACCTTTTTGATTAGATTTGCCAGATGTTAGGCAAATATATTTTTACTAGTGTTTGGTAACTATACCTCATCCCTGTATTTTACGCCATGTTTTTAGAAATCCAAATCCATTTCTCTGAGACCATATTCTTAACTGGCTCTTTACTACTCAGATTATTTATTTTTTTTCTCATTTATTCCTTCCAAGTATCACCAGTGAGGAAGATACTACCATGTGCCCCTCTAACTTTAGTTTCTTGCCTAAGATTTTCTCATTTATGGCAATAATTTGTAAGTTTCTTTTAAAATTACTGAAGAAGTGGCTACTGCAGATGAGGACTTGCTAGCTATATGTGATATTTTGAAGAAATTATTGAAGAAGGTAGAAGCACTGATAAGTAATTTTTTATGTTGATGAAAGAAACTTATTTTGATAAGTGATGCCTTCTAGAACTTACATTTTTAAGAAAGAAAAAAAAAACTCAACCTGGATTTAAAGTACCTAAGGATTGCCTAACACTTTTATTGGGAGATGTGGAAGAGAATTTAAAATTAAAACCAATGTTTATGTCTTTGGAAATCCTTATGTCCCAAGAGGTAACCACTATAAATCACTTCAAGTTTTTTGGTGGTCAGATAAGAAAACTTGGCTGACTGAAGCAGTTTTTGAAGATTGGTTTTCAATTTATTTTAGCCCAGCTATTGAAAAAAATATTGCCAAGACAACAATTTCACATTTAAAGCATTGCTTTTTTGTTTGTTTGGTTGGGTTTTGGTTTTTGATAATGGCTCAACTTATCCAAATACATTTGTTTTACTGTGTGACAATGTGAGCTTGCAGTTTCACAGAGATATGGATAAAAGCTGTTTGCATTTATGTATGTATGAAGATTTAAAGAGATGTTTTTGTAACCACTTTATTACTTCCCATTAACTTTGAAATCAAACATGTTTTTCTTATCCTTTGTTATATTATGCTAATAAACAGATAAAAATTACTTTAAATTTTATTGCATATTTCCATTGGGCTGTAACCAGTAGCTATATTTTACTTATTACTTCACATGTAACTTGGTTAACGTTACCATTTCAGAGGATTTATTATTTGCACTAATCAGACCAAGCTGTTAAATTAGTAATTTTTTAAAAAATACTAACAAAATAGACAAGCCTTTAGCTAACTTGATGAAAAAGAGGAAAACTGAAGAATTAAAAAGGACAAATCACAACAGATGAAGAGGAAATAAAAAAATATTAGAACTATTTTGCTCAGGTATAACCAAAAGACTGATAATTTAAAAGGAAAATATTACTTACACAAATATAAAATAACATTATTAACAGAAAAAGTAATTTCTGATAAAATTTTATTTTATAATGCCTAAACCAGGGAGAGATAAATCAGAGGAAGAAAAAAGGCATGGGTTAATATCTCTAATGAATATTAATGCAGAAATATTGGATAAGGTACAAAGAGGCTATATCTACATATTTAAAAACTTGCCTTTTTTGTTCAAGTCAGATTTATAATGTGTAAGAAGAAAGGAATAACCATTTATCAGATGCTTGCTATGTTACAGGCACTATGCTAAACACTTTACAAATATTATCTCATTTGATCCTTATAATAACTCGGAAAGAGAGTTGCTATTATTGTCACCCCCATTTTACAGTTGAGGAAACTGAGGTAGATAGTGGTGAAGTGACTTGCCAGGGGTCACATAGTATGTGTCTGAGCTGGATCTGGATCCAGTTCTTCCTGATTCTTGCGCCAGTACTGTATCCACTGTACCACCTAGCTGCCTCATGAATACAGCCATGTTTTATGAGTATAGTAATGGTTCAATATTAGGAAAACTATGACAAATTATATTAATAACAATAAACTATGTAATTATATTAAATATAGACATTTTAAAATAATGTTATTGAATAATAATATAATCCTAGAAATTACATTATTGTGTAAGTATCTTCGAAAGATAAGTTGGAGTCATGTTGTAAAAGATGTTAAATGCCAATAAAGGAATTTGTGTTTGTTGCTAGAGGTAATAGAAAGCCACAGGAGTTCAGCTACATGAAGGGGTACAATAGAGAGAAGAGATTTGAGGTAGGGACATCAATTAGGAGGCTGTGTAGTAGACCAAGGAAAAGATCATTAAGTCCTGATTTAGGGTACTGAGTTTGTGAGTGAGAGAATAAGATGAATGTAAGAGATGTTGTGGAGTTGGAATTGGCAATACTTGGCAACTGATTGAATATGTTGGATAAGAGTTGGGAGGCAAGGAATACTTAAAGGTTCAAACCTGGGTGACTGAAATAAAGGTGATGTTCTTGACAAAAATAGGATATTCCAGAAGAAGTGGTTTTTTTTTTTTTTACTTCAAATGAGGTTCAATTTAATAAATACATTGTTTGAAGTGCTTCTAGGGCATCTAGTTTTAAATGTCCATTAGGCATTTGGTGATGTAGGATTGTAGTTCAGGAGTGAGACTTGAGCTGGATATACAGATCTAGAAGTCATCCATAAGATAGTAGATGTGGGGGTGGGGAGGGATAGAGGGAAAGAGAGAGAGAGAGAGAGAGAAAGAGAGAGAGAGAGAAATATTAGAATGTTAAAGAAAAGAGACAGATATTTAGTTCAGTTCTTCAGTCATCTCCAACTGCCTACTAGACATTTCAAACTAAATGCCCTAGAAGCATCTCAAAATTCAACATTTCTGTTCAAGGTACCACCATTCTTTCAGGTTGTCATGTTTGTACCCTTGGCTTTATCCTCAACTCCTCATTTCCCCTTCACTCCACTTCTACGGTCATCTGCTTGTTTCTACCTTTAAAATATTTTTCAGGTCTGATACCTTCTTTCATCGACTTCCCAATTGGTCTACTTTCCTATTTCCACTGCAGTTCATTCTTAATGCTGATGTCAAATTGATTTTCCTTAATTGCAGATTTGACCATATCACTAACTATACCTTCCTCCCCCAGAAGAATAAACTGCAGACTACCTCTTGCCCCAGGATAAAATAAAAGTTTTTCTTCTTAACTTTTCAAGAACTTCACAGCCTGTCCTGTTGTACCTTTGCAGCCTCATTGTACATTGCTCTATAGCCTTTGATCAAGCCAAATTGGTTTTATTTCTGTTCCTCACATATGGCAGTCTATCTCTTGTATTCATGCATTTGTACTGGCTATCTGTCCTCCATGCCTGAAATGCAGATTTTCCTTACTTTTGTCATATAGAATATCCCCCCTTTGAAGTCATAGTTCAAACATCATCTTTTACACGAAAGCTTTCCTTGCTCCCATAACTGCCTAAGTGTCCTCCCTCACTTGTACTTGTATTTATTCTGTATATTCTCAGTTTTGTACATTTTATCTCTTGAGAATAGACATTGTTTCAATGTTTGTATCTATCGCACCTAGCATACTGCCTTGTTAGACACCTAACAAGTGTGTAATAAATGCTTGTTGATTAATTTGTGAAATAATCAAACAAAGATTAGTTGAATGAGATTCATACCAGAATCTATTATCAACATATACTTTAGGTATTAATATTTTAGTTGGAATTTTCAGATTTAGGGAAAGGAGTACATTAGGAGGACTGATAAGGAAAGGTGGGAGATTATCAAGGAACCTCTTCCCTATTTTGAGTTTGCATTTGATTTGTTTAAAGTTCAGCTGGATGCCCACAAAAGACTTATTCCTCAAATTTAAGACTCTGTGACTAAAAATCAATTGTAGCCTAAGTGAATCTATTGTACATATATATGAAACAATAAGTGACTTTTAACCAAGACTTGGCATGCCACTTTTCCAAGGTTAACCCCTGCTTTAGATGGTTGTAACTAAGGTTTGTGACTTTATTGGTCTGGTTACTTTCTTCACTAGTACAGATTACTACCCTACTCCACTTTAATAAATGGCTTCACAAGATGCTGTTACCAAAAATATTCATCAGCTGGTGGCCAACTTTTTGATGATGTGCCTCTCTAAAGTTAGCTAGGCTGATTCTCATACAGCAGTCTTTCGTCAGGTTCATTCTGGATTATTAATTATATATACACATATATTTGGAGCAAGAGAGCCTGTGGAAGTTCTCCTTCCCTTTCACCATCTATGGATAATACATTCTACAACAGTATTCTGTAACTTAATTCGTTTCTCCCTATGACTGTACAACTGTACAACTGTAGCCATCAGCAAGTCTAATAATGATCTTCTAAATTAGATACTAAAATAGTTTTTGGAGGGCCAACCCTGAGAGTTTCCTGGCTAAGATCCAAGTTTCACAGCAATACTTTGTCCTAGTCTATGTTGGTTAACAATGACTCAGTGTTTAGAATCAGGGCATCTAAGAGTGTTTCTGAAAAAGAAAGAGATTGCAGGACAATTTGTTCTGTTTTATTTCTTTGGAATGCTTGATGCTTAGAAACTAAATTGGAAGGAAAGACCAATCAAGGATATCCTATTAGTAGGAGGAGGGCTGTCTGATTGTTGGTACTGGATTTCAGAGTGAGTGATTAGTAGCATTTGGCTTATGAGGAAGAGTGACTAAAAATAACTCATGAGGAGAGTTTGTAGTCAGGTCCAATTTCGGGTTCTAGCTGAGCTAGCTGTAAGTTTGGCCACTCCTATAAAGCTGGAACAATTGAAAATCCATGATAAATATTTTCTGAAGACGTAAGCAGCATGAATGAGGATAAAGGTATATAACTAGTTTCTTAATGAAAAAGATTATATATTTTGGTTTTGGATGATATGTTTGCTTCATTTTTTAATTTTACTTTGTGAAAGCAAGTTGAGTGCTATGTAAGAAGGGTGAGTGTTCAGCATTTTCTGTTTTAAACTTATAGAGACATTAATTTCTAAGAGTAGTTGAAATAATGGAAAGCTCGATCTCTTTGTCTTGGCTATATATTTATTTGTGGGGGCATAGTTCATTAGATTTTATTTGAATATGTTATATAAGTCATTTTGGGGTAAAAATTAGGAAATTGGAATTAACAAAATATACACAGTTTTTCTTTGTCAGATTTGTACATTTAAAAGGTTGATTTCTAAAGTTCCTTCCAGCTGGGTGCATGATTCTGTGTGGTAGCTGACCTACTTCTTGAGGCAGGCAATATGTACAAAGAAGGGACTTAGATCATTTGATTTTAACTCAAGATTGAACACCTTCCAGTATATCTTATTAATTTTTTATCTTTTAGGACTGAATTGTTTTGTTCATCTTCCTTTACAATAATGTTTGCTTTCCAGTTTAAAAAAAAATTGAAGTGCCTTTTCTTCAGTATTTGAATATATTTTTCTTTTGGAAGAATATGGTGTTTATTTGCTGAATAGAGTAAAAAGTTTTTTTTCCCCCATGATTGCCCAAGGGATTTGTATTCGTTCTAGATCTGACCTAAAAGTCACTTTATTCACCTCATTGTATAGCTTTTAAACTTCTGAAACATGAGTCTTTTGGTTGATTGGGCCATACACACACACACACACACACACACACACACACACACACACACACGTATATAAGTATATGTGTTACAGTTTATTTTAGCAGAGATTCTGATATGCAGCCTTATTCCTTAAGCAAATATTTTAATTCCTTTCAGAAATGGTGAAAGTGTATTAATGTATATCTAATGAAGACAACTCTACAGGAAGGAAGCTTTTTTGTGTCATGGACCCCTTTGGCAGTCTGGGGGAGGCTAAGGACCTCTTCTCAGAATGTTTTTAAATGCATGAAAAAAAGTACACAGTATTACAGAGGCAACCAGTTATATTGAAATGTAGTTATCAAAAATATTAAAAACCAAATGTATGAGATAGTAATATATAATTGTTTATTAACATTAAATAATAAGAAATGTATTTATAGGCAAGTTAAAGTTAAATTTTATTTTAAAAAGATGATATATATATATAATTATGAAGGCTGTTGTCACCTATATTCATAATTGAAGAAAATACTAAGTTTCAGTCAGAGGTTACTGAAAATCATGGTGTAAATTTTTTTTTCCCATCCATAGATCCCTTGGGGATCCTTGGACTCTAAGTTAAGAATCTCTTCTTGAAGTGTGTCCTCTGGTAACATTTTACTTGTCTGGTAACCAATGGGAATGAAGAATTCTATTTAAGTGAATTTTCTAGATAACGGAAAATTACTATTTTAATAACTCAGAATTTTTAAAGTATTTTGAATACAACTCTTTCTAAAATGCATTTGATATCTCCCATTCCTGTTACTGAAACTAATTTAGTTTTTTCTTGATGTCAGTTATACTGTGATATAATACTTTAGGCTATTTCTTCCTATATGGTAGATAGCCTTGCCTTTATTTTGCTTTTTAAGTTTGTGTCTGGTTTTTTTTTTTTGTTTTGTTTTGTTTTTTTTGCTTGTTTGGTTTTTTTACAGTTTGTTTTCTCCCTCAGTGCCAGTGGCCATTTCTTCTTGCTTTATGTCTGCCACTAGCATCCTTCTTTTACTGCCACTCCCAACCCAATCTCCCACTTTTTGATTTGTTCCTCATGATTGGGTAGAATAGATCACAGTACAATGGCCTTTGGCAAGTTAGTTAACTTCTCTAGATCCCTCATCCATAAGATGAGCCTCTGAAGTCCCTCTACGTCTAAATTTATGATCCTATGTTCTCTAAGATTTCTTAGAACTTTATAATCCTATAAGACTATGTTATAGTAGGTTCTAGACTACGAAACTAGATAATGTCATTAGAAATGTGTCTGAAGTAAATAACAGTTTTGAGTGAAGGCCTGAGGGGCTCAAAGGAGGAGACTTAGGGTTCTCTGTTATATCTAATTTAGCTTCAAAAAAGTCTTTCTTTTCCTGGTGCTTAGTTATCTAGATAGTTAAAGTAAGTTACCATGGAACTTGTGAGATTCAGTTGTATTATTTTGGATTAACATGTTGCCATTTTTCTGACAAGTTCAAGTAACTAATCATATTTTATTTGGTATTATAAGAAGAAACTATAAAAATAAATAAAATTATCTCAAATGATGATTGATATATGGCATCACAAAAATAATTTATTGCAAGATTACCTTAAGTATCAATCCTCTTGGTGTATTTAGAAGTTTTGTTTATAGATTTTAGAAAATGATTATGGCATGAAATAGTATGGTATTCTTCTAGTTAGCCAGGGGCAGTTGAGACCAGAACTAAAATTTTACTGTGACATTATAAGCAAATTTTAGCATTTCTTTAAGCAGAAGATAACAGTATGTTCTTGAATAATTTGTTGTACTTGAATATTTTGTCCTAGAAAATTATTGTTATACAGAGTGGAATGGGGTGGGAAGAGGCATATAAATAGATTTGTATTCATACAGTAACAACATAAGAGTATTGAAGTCTTAAAAAAATTATTGCCAACGACCCTAACAGGCTAGTATAGCATCTTTCTCTCTCTCTCTTTTTTTTTTAATAAATTCCAATAGTGTAAAATGAAACTCCATCATGTTATCTTTATTCTTAGTACCTATAAAAGTGTTAAGCTCTTATTTTATTTATCTAGTATTATATTTAGTATTGATTACATTTAGTTGTTTTTCCATGGTAAAGTACAATTTATGAAATTATAAAGTCTATCACAAATGCCTTTGATTTAGTGAAACTGTGATCTCAGTAATCAGCAAAGTCTGTTAGACATTTACATAGTTTTTTGTTTGGAAACAAAGAAGGTAACTTCCTAATACAGTTAGATAATCTTCAATGGCATGATCTGGTGATCACTTGGATGCAATTTTGATATTTTTTGGGGGGGCGGCTAGGCAGTGGGGTTAAGTGACTTGCCCAGGGTCACACAGCTAGTAAGTGTTATGTGCCTGAGGTCGCATTTGAACTCAGGTCCTCCTGAATTGAGGGCCGGTGTTCTGTCCACTGCGCCACCTAGCTGCCCCAATTTTGATAAATTTTTGCACAGGAAATAAATACAAAGTAAAAGTGAGTCAATCGATCAAAAAATATTTAAGACCTTACTAATGCCAGGCATTGTGCCACGTACTGGAGATACAAAGAAAAATGGTTCCTGTTTTCAAAGAACTTACATTTTTTTTTAATTAAATTTTATTTTTTTCAATTAGCAAAAATCAGCTTTTCTCCCTCCTCTTCTTCCCAGCCCCCCCCCCCCCCTTGAATTAAGAAAGGAAAAAGAAAGTCTTTGGTCATTACAATGATTTGAGTTTCCAGATCTTTGAAAGTTATTTGACTTTACAATATTGTTGTCTTTATTTAAGTTATTCTCCTGGTTCTGCTAACTTCACTCTGTGTTGGTGTATACAAGTCTTGGTACTTGTCTTCATAATTATCTCTTTCATCATTTCTTATAGCACAATAGCATTCCATCAGTGATTGATCAGTAAACATTAATTAAGTGCCTACTATATGCCAGGTACTGTGCTAAGTGCTGGGCATACAAAAAGAGACAAAAAATAGTCCCTGTTCTCAAGGAGCTTATATACTATTACCCGTTCATATATTCTTCAGTTTATTGGCACCCCCTCAGATTCCCATTCTTTGTCACCTCAAAAATATCTATAATTATTTTTATTCATTTTTAGAGTTTGTTTTTCTTCGGGCTGACCTTTCTCTTAATCAACCTTCTCTCTAATTCGTTGTCCCCTTTCCCTACTGTTTACCTTTTGGGTGAAATAAATTTGCATACTGAATTCTATGTGTGTGTGTTTGTATTATTTCTTCCTTTGGTCTATTCAGATGATTCTGAGGTTTAAGTATAAACCAGTTCCCCAATCACTTCTTCCTTGAATGTATAGCTTTTTACTTGTACACCCTGATTATGGGAAATAATTTATCCTAATCTTTTTCTCCCTTCCCCCAAATGTATTCTTCTTTGCTTTCCTTTCCATTGTTCCTTTAAGATCAGTTCATACCAGGACTACTTCCAGATTCTGTCTAATCAGACTAGCTCTCTACTTTAAAGATATTGGGGTTCAGAGGAAATGAGTATCATCTCCCAATATTTGAATGGAAGCAGGATATCCTTGTTTAGTCACATAAGATTGTTCATTCAGTGTTTACTATTTATGTATGTATGTATGTATGTATACACACACACACACACACACACATATGTTTTACTCCTGTGTTTGTGCTTCACAATTTCTTCATAGCTCTGGTCTTTTCATCCCTCATACTTAGAAATCCTCTATTTTATTAAAGTTCATTTTTTCCCCCTTAGGATTATACTCAGTTTTCCTGGTAAAGTTATTCTTGGTTATAAGCTCATATCCTTTGCCTTCTGGAATACTGTATTCTAAGCTTGCTGTTCCTTTTTAGTAGTGGCTGCTAAATAATGGGTGTTCCTTACTATGGCTCCTCAGTACTTGAATTTTTTTTTTTCTGGTAGTTTGCAATATTTTCTCTTTGACCTGGAAGCTCTGATTTCGGCTATAATCTTTCTTCATTCCTTCCTTCCTTCCTACCTACTTACCTACCTACATGCCTAAGCTTTCTATTTCCACTTTGCCCTCTCGTTTTAAAACTAATGGGAAGTTTTCTTTTGTTATTTCTTAAAATATGATGTGTAAGCTCTCTTTTTTTGGTCGTGGTTTTCAAGCAGTACAAGGAGCTTTACATTTTTGTCTTCTTGATCTGTTTCCCAGGACAATTATCTTTGCCTGGATACCTTAAATTTTCCTCTTTTTTTCAGCCTTTTGATTTTAATATTTCTTGCCTCATGAATTCATTAGCTTTTATTTCACTCTTATTTTCAAGGAGTTTATTACTTGTACAAGTTTTTAATTGCTTGTGCCAAGCTGTTTAATTTCCTTTCCAAAATTCTTTCTTCCATAGCTCTCATTTCTTTTTTATTTATTTTCTCTACGGTGCTTATTTTCATTTGTAAAAAATATTTTAAAGCTTTACAAAACAAACAAACAAAAACTCCTGCTTTATCACTTCCAGGAATTCTAGTTGGATTTGTGTGTAAGCTGCATTTTCTTTTAGGCCTTGATTATAGATGTTTTGGAACCATTCTCTTCTGGGTTTTGTGTCTTAAGCATCCTTGTCACTGTAGTAGTTTTTTATGGTGGGATTCTTTTTTTTGCTCATTCTTCCAATCTACTTAATGGTTTTGGACTTTTTATTAGGGCAAGGCTTTTGTCCTCCTCTGGAGGAAATGTTTGTACTGCTTAGGATGCTGCTTTCTTGAAATATTGAACATTTTGTTTTTCCAGGATCTCAGCGACAGCTAGACTGAGGACTTGCAGACTTTCAGTGTTCCTATAATACCCCCCTAGGGGGCTCAGGTCCCCTCTGCAGTCCATCCTGGATTTATGACCAGGAACTAGGTAGTAAATGAAAAAACTTCCGTTTGGCACCTGCATAAGGTCTTAGTCTCACAGTATGGGTGTTGCTTGGTGCATTATCATGGTCCTCTTTCAGTCCCTGGTCGCTAGAATGCTTCACAGGCTCTTGGCACATCCTATCTCCTGGGTCCATAGACCTCTCTACCTCCCTATGCCAACTTTGGTTGGAAAAATAACTCACTATGACTTTTTGTTGGATTTTTCCAATTAGGGTTGGTTTGGTGCATTTTCTAGATTTACTTGGAGGAGTTTCATTAGGGTTTGGAGGAACCTCGTTATACTTCTTCCTGCTCTACCATCTTGGCTCCCTACTTCAACCTAATTCTTTTTATATAAAATTTTATTTTTAGCAAGATTTTTCTTCCTACTGCTCCTTTCCCCATTGAGTAAGAAGAAACGAGAGAGAGAGAGAGAGAGAGAGAGAATATACTTTTGTAACATAGATTGCATAGTCCTCTACATCGTTCCCTTGTCTAAAAATGTATATTTCTGTACTTGTTAGGAGATCAGGTCACATTCATACAGGTCTCCCTAGACTTGGTTGGTCATTATATCAGAGTTCCTAAGCTTTTCAAAGTTGTTTTTCTTTATGCTGTTGTCCTTGTATAAATTGTTTTGTGAGATCTGCCCATTTCATTCAGATCAGTTCACACTACACACGATTCTCTGAAATTGTCTCTTTTGTTATTTCTTATTGCACAATGATATTCTGTTACATTTATGTCCTATAGTTTGTTTAGCCATTCTGCAGTTGTCTCACAGACAACCTAAGGTACCCTCTTAGAGTCAAGATTTTATTTCTTTTTCTTTTCCGTCACTTCCCTCCCCTTCCCCCTTTCAAGATCCAGAAGTTTGTTTTGCTTGCAACTATTCCCTCTTTTGTATTGTCCTCTTTCTTTAACTTTGTCACCACCTTACTTTCCCTGCTTATTTTCCTGTTGAGTTCCATGTATTTATGCACTAAACTCTTCTTTGTCCATTTCACTCTAGAGTGAAGTTCTTTTGATGCCCCTTTACCCCACCCTTTCCTTTATACTTGTATATTCTTCTCACTCAATCCAGTTATGAATAATCATAGCTTCTTCCAGTTCAAATACCTTTTTAGTTTTCTCTGGATTTTTTCTATATGTAATTCAAAGTACCTTCTCAATTTGGGTCTTTACATCAAAAAATCTTTGAAGGTCATTTATTCCAATAGTGGTTCTCCCTCCTCCCCCCACCCTGACTTTTTTTTTCCCCTCTAGGGTTATACTCTGCTTCACAGGGGAAATTGCTTCTGCTTATAAGCCTGTTTCTTTTGCTTTTTGGAATATTGTACTTCAAGATGTCCTGGTTTTTAGTAGATACTATGAGGTCTTGTATGACCTTGACCGTAGTTCATGGCACTTCAATTGCTTCTTTGGGTGCTTGCAGTATTTTTTCCTTTGTTGTGGAAACTCTGAATTTTGGCTGTGACATTGCTGGGACTATTCTCTTTGGGGTTTCTTTCAGGAACTGATCAAAGGATTCTTTCCCTATTTACTTTGCCTTCTGGTTTGTATCTGTTTTAGCAGTTTTCATTTAGTGCTTCTTGATGCATTGTGTCCAGCTTTTTTTTTTTTTATTCAATCATGTTTTTCAGAGAATCCAATGATTCTTAAATTAACTCTCCCTGATTTATTTTCCAGATGAATTTTTTTTTCATATCGGATATCTTAAGTTTTCTTTTCTTTTTTCAATCTAATAATTTGGCCCTAGTATCTCTTGCTAGACTTGGAAGAAATATGAAAGGAATTAAGTCACTTGTATTCTTGGAATATTTTATATTCATAGCTTATCTTCAAACAACCAATTGCTAGGAAATGTAATGTACTTCAGAAATAAAAAGCTGTAGGAAAGCTTTATTTTTTCATCTAATGATGTTTCTAACTTTTGTCTTTCAACAGAGGCAAAGCATGGGGGACAAAAAAATGGAAAGAAAGAAGGCCTCTCTGGAAGTTCATTCTTCACATGGTTTATGGTAATTGCATTGCTGGGCGTCTGGACTTCTGTAGCTGTTGTTTGGTTTGACCTTGTTGATTATGAAGAAGTTCTAGGTAAAAACTGTATTATAGTTTTCCATAATTTAAAAAAATTACAAATATGTGTTTCTGTTCTGACAACATAACTTAAATATTTAATACCGTCTTGAGAATATGCAATTATAAGCAAAATTTGAGTCTTCTAGTTTGTTGACAGGATATTTTACTTATTGAATAGTAGTCATGCTTCTTAGAAAAGCAAATAATATTGTAGCTTCCTTGCATATAACTTGAATAAAAGTGTTAAATTGTAATGACTTTTAGAAAAATGACCCTCACATAGACAAGTTGACATCTGGTTGCCAAAGACTTCCAGATTGGAGAGAAATTTGCAGAAAAAAGATTTTAGTTCTTTTTATGGGTCCATAGTGAATTATTAATAGAGAAAGGAACATGTAAATCAAGTGGTAAAATAAAGGAACATATTTAAAATAATTTGTGTATTTTAATGCAAGTAACAGTTCTCATATTTTTATATGCATGCAGCCAAAGCAAAGGACTTCCGTTATAACTTGTCAGAGGTACTTCAAGGTAGGCTATTCAAGACATATTTTAAATAAGCTCATATTTTCTGTCTCTGAAATTTCACTTTACCTTATTTTATTTGTCATTTAAGTATACTTCATAATATATGAGCAGTATGGTCAATTTCCTGTGAGATATATAGTTTTAATGGTTGACTTTTTTTTAGCTTAGCTCATTATTAAATTTAACCTTGATCTTCAGGTCTATAATTTTCATTTTAAATTTTGTTAAAAAAATAGGAGTTTTATAACTTTATCATTTCTCCATTTCTTTGTGGAATTTTTTTCTTAGAAAAATTGTGTTTACTTTAGGAAGTATTAATGTTAGATTACATCAGTCACTTGTCACCCCTCTGCATAACTTCAGTCTTTTAGAAAAAATAAAAAGACATAATAGAAACTTGAGTGGGTCATGGCTACACCACTCTGCCACTGTTGCTAGTTCCTAAAAAGTTGCAATATACCTTTTGAAGGTATTTTGGTAAATGACATAATTGACCTCAGGGCTGTTTTTGGGGAACTGAATTTTTATAGCTTCAGTCAGTAATGTTAAATATAGATCATCCTACTGAAAAGTGAATCTTTAAAGTATTTTTTTTTCCAAATAAGGAAAGATAAAGACTGTGCTCATATTGCCCGTTTCTCTTGGCTGAGTCCAAATCTTTTTATTTTTATTTTATTTTTAAATGTTAGACTTCTGTTGCTTAATTGGATTTTTAAATGGTATAGATAAAGTCATTCATAGTATCAGATTCATTTCTAGGTCTCGCTTAATAAGAAAACGATGGTGGCTTATTTTTGTGGGGGAGGGTGAGTGGTTCTGCTGTAAATGCTAATTTTTAAATAAAAAAACCCATTTCTTTATGTTAGATACTTGCTTTAATAAACACCTAGTTTGTTTGCTTGAAATTAGTTATTTAGGACTTGACATTCCTTTTTATTTTCTGCCTAGTAAGAATTGATTGTAAAATTGAGGGTTGAAGAAATTAACAAATTTTTAGATTTCAAAACATATAGCTTCCTTAAATATTAACAATATACTTTCAATATTGTACAGTTGGACAAAGTGCTTAAAGTTTTTAGCATTGCTACAAAGATCTTTTGCTACAATTTAAAACATTTATTTTATAACCTCAAACTTCACAAGAAATTATTATAGAATGAAGTGAATTTATTCATTTATGGTTTTTACTTTTTTGTATTAATTTGATAAATGAAAATCTGAATTTCAAAGTGAATTCCACATGAGTTTGAGATATATTAGAGAAAAGTATATTATGACTTTCTTGCAAAGAGAAAAATATTTAGGGCTAGAGGCACACCGGGTTGTATTACAGCAGTATCTATGTCTGCTATGCAGAATTTCAATAAATGGAAATGTCCAATTATCTTCTTCTCTTTTATTCCCATACTCCCCCACCCCCCACCATGTTTTTTTTATTACAGGGAAGCTGGGAATCTATGATGCTGATGGTGACGGTGATTTTGATGTTGATGATGCCAAAGTTTTACTAGGCAAGTATACCTTAGTTTTAGGATGGCACTGGAATATGCCAAAAATGACATTATGTATGGAACCTTGTTTGTGATAACATTTCTTTAGGATTTTCTCAGTAGGCTTAGACATAGCTTTATAAATTTTTAAGAAGACAGATAATGTGTAGGCAAACCTTGTCAAATTGGGAATAACTTTTATGTGTACTGTCTTCATCTTGAAAATATTTTTTATTCTGAACATTTAATAAATTTTATGTAAAAACTGTGCTGCTTGGCTTTCAAATTAACTACATAATTATTTTTCTTTTTTTGGCTTTTAAAATATCTTTTATATAAGCTTAAATTTTAAATTAAAGTTTTAAAGTTTTTTGTGTGTCTACCATAAAATAATATAGTAATAATAAATAAGTTACAGTATATAGGCTGTTGCATATCTTGAAGGTAAACACTTTAAATATACTATATTTGATCCCATTAAGAGCTTCAGATGACTAAACCTTGCTTTAATAGGGGGTTCTTTAATAGAGAGAGGGAAGAGCCCATTGATTATTCTTGATTTCTAGGAAATCTTGTTGATTTTTAAGTTCTTCTCTGAATATTATGTCAAATTTTTTGATGTATTTTTTGTCTGATGTATCTATATCTGCTTATGGGGTACTCATATCCTTCAGTTACGTTAGTATGAAATATCTTCACTCAAATCATACTCTAATGTCTCATCATAGTATGGATGTGACTATTGACCCTTGAAACTTGTGCAGGTGGAGCATAAGCACTGAAAGTTTTATTAAGCAGGAAAGGATGAATTGCCACACCAGTGGATTATGTATATCTATTGCCCCCAAACCAGCCTAGTTAAGACTAGAGTGGCTCATCACTGCTTGGGGATAAATTTTTTTTTTGAAAATGTTTTATTTAAGTGAGGCTATTATTTTCTGTTATGAAAAACTTCAAATACTACAAAATAAAATGTTTTTAGTTGTAATCTAAATGGTTGTAAGTTCTGTGAATGTTTTCTTATTGATGTGCAGGAAGAATCAACATTTGCTTTTTTGTGCATGTCTGTTTTTTTCATAGAAAATAGTAAACATTATTCCATCACCCTATTGAAGTTTTTTTTAAATGTGATTTTGATAGTAGCTATTTGAATTGGGGTTTTAAAAAGATATATACTCTTGTTTGAAATGTATTTGTATCCCATGTGTTAATTAGAATGATACTCATTTATGGTAATCAAAATGTTTTGTGACTCTTTAATTTAAAGAAAGTTTTACATGCCCAAACTAAATATGTAGAATTTATAATTGTACTGTCTACTTAGTAATAAGAATATTTTCTCTTTAACAGCTCTTTATTTTAGTATGATGAAGAGTTAGCTTGCTATTTTAAAAGTGTTTTCAAAACTTCTATTATACACTGATTTGTTATTTTTAGAAAGAAGTTATTAAAGTACTTGTAAAATGTGTCTACAAACTCTGTTTAAAATACATTTTTTTGGTTGAGTAATGTTAAGAATTGTCAAACAGCAGTTATTAACAAGATATTATTTCTGCTTTGTCCACATCTCTGTAGGGATTACATTTGGATTTCAAGTATCAAATTTTAGATTTGGAAATTGATTATGTAGATTTTTAAATGAAGCAATTAACAAGAAAATATTAGGCCTAGCTACCAATCCCTCTTTTGTTGACTTTTTGGTTTTTACATAGATACATATTCATAAAAAACGTACAAACTACAACTTGCATTTTATGTAAGAATTTTCATATTTAGAAATGCAATAACTAAATTGGGTGATTAAATCTCTGAGTTTTTTTGAGAATGTGACTCTGAGTCACATTGCTTCACATGACATCTTCATCACATTGCTCAAGTCTATGATGTAGTACCTCTGGGGCTTCATACGATTGATTTCGGCCTGATTGAAGTTGAGGAAGCTAAAGATGAACCCCAGCTGCCAGACTCAACTCTACCATTTCTTTTGTATTTAATTTTGATCTTCCAGTGTTTGAAAATAGTGACATAAGGTACAGTTTGGGTCTGGAGACAATAAAATGCTGTTTACTCACTTCTGACCTTATGTTACTTCACTAAAAATATCAAAAAAGGAATGATATTAAGCATATTTACTGAAACCTTTAATGAAGTCATGGCAAAGAAAATCAAAAGTGAATGGGTCAGTAATCAGGTCAATTGCAACAGGGCAAAGGCTGACTTTTATTTGTTGTGATAACTTTTATATTATTGTACTGGGTATATATATATATTTTAAGTGAATAATTTGTAGGCTATTATAGGATCTTAATTTAGTCTGCATCAGTCTTATCAGTTTTGTGTAAAAGAAATAACATGCTAATTTAAATATTTCTTATACTTATTCAAAGAGTTAGTAAATCATATACAGAGATAGTATGAAATAATTTCTGTGGAATTCACAACAGACAGCAATCATGGTATTTATGTGGCACCTTTGTAGTTACATAAGTGCCTACATACATTGTCGTTTGATCTTCACAACAGCCCTGAGGTAGGAAGTGCAAGCGTTACAATTCCTCTGTTACAGGTGAGAACGTTGAGCATTAGAGAAGTTAAATGACTTGTCCAGCATCACATAGCTAAATTGATGGTGTCGGGTCTTAAGCTCAGTCTTTAGACTTCTGATTTCTCTTTTCGCTAATTGCTCTTTTCACTCTACCATGTCACCCTGAAAGTCTTTTAAAGTTTATCATTCACCTGCCTAAAGAGCCTGCTTGATAATTACTTAGTAGAACATCTGCCTACCCTAAATGATGAGTTGCTTTAAAATATTTTATTTCCGTTTAAATTGTTGACAACTAAAATCACTTGAAATGAAAATATTCTCTCCTAAAACATGCTACTTTGGAGACATGATAAATTCTTGAGTAAATTAATAAGAAGATGTCTCACCACAAGAATAGCCAGAAGTAACATAGCATTGTGAATAACAATCCTGTTTTCCTGTGTTGAGCAACTTACAGCGATTTGCTAGATGCTACAGTGAGTAAAGTATAAGGGAAAAGGAGATAAGCTACAAAGCTTGGGATCACTAGTTCTACCTCATATTCTTTTTTCTAGCCACTGGAAATGGGATGATAAGCATCCCAAAAAGTAGCATCAGGTAGTGTGTGTATGGGGAGCAACTACTGAGGTTTGTACAGTTCTAGAAGCCCTCTGGTCTAATTCCTTTCCACTCTTTCTTTCATGAGTAGCTTCTTACCTATGTGGGTAGGAGATGAGGAACCACTCGGTATGAAAAAGGTTCCTTCTTTTTCCTAAGCTACACATTTCTTAGGGCTCTGGTGTAAAGAATTACAAGGAAGCTGAGCTGATGAATAAGTAGATATAGGAAGAAACTCTTTGTAGAGTTGTCTATATTATTCAGCTGGCAGCTTTTGTTTATTATATCTTTTACTAGTGGAGTTTTTCATGCTAATATTAAAGTCAGTAAAGTCAGATTCTGTTTTCAAGATTTTATAGAGTCCTTTATGATTTTGATAGTTTAATTTTTTTCAAAACAATATTTGTCAAGAAAAAGAGAAACCTTTTTTTCTTATTTTTGTTGAGATTAGAAATAAGGCATTGTCTAGGATGATCTACTAAACATAGAAGGAAAATTAAAATTTTAAAACTCTATATAAGAAACCAATTATAGAATCATAGATTTTTAGTTGGAAGGCACCTCAATGACCATTGAATCCAACCCACCTCATTTTACACACCAGGTAAATTGACTTCCAGAAAGGTTTAATGGCCTGCCAAGGGTTACACAGATACTAAATATTTATTTAGTAATTACCTCTAATTGACCAGAAATATCTTGGGTTCTTTCTGATCCATTCACATATGAGTGTGGGTTGGAGAAATTTAATGTCCATATCAATAACTTCCTTACTATAGGTAATTCCTATTGTGGAAATTCTCTCTAATGATGTAGATCAGCATTTGGTTTTTAAATTGGATTCTTAGATGCTTAGGACATTGAAATGTTAACTAACCTGCTCATGGTTTTACAGATAGTACATGTCATAGGCAAGACCTGAACTCAGGTCTTCTTGACTCTAAGGCAGTCCTCCATTAGCTATACCATGCTGCCACAAAACCTCAAAATTAATATTATGTACATTTTAAAATTTCTTCTTACTAAAAAAATGGGTTCAAATTGAAAGCTAACTCAATTGCATGTAGAGATTCAGTTCAACTTGGTTCAATATATATTAAGTGCCTGCATAGGCAGAGCACTACAATGCACACTTACAGAAGTAAATATGTAGCTAAGATACATAGCCCAGCCCTAAGTTTATAATCTAACAGTAAAGTTGCAAGTTCCTCATAGGGTTTGACTTCTGGCTTTTGTGGGAAGTGCTTGTAAGAGAAGGCACGGAAGAAGTGAGATGGCTCTTGAGACCAATAAGTAAAAGTACATGAGGACTGGTCACTTCCATCTTGGAGAAAGAGAAAAAGTATACTAGAAGAAATAGCATTTGAGCTAGGTCTTTTGATAAGAAGCCTGGAAAAAGATTGAGATTTAGCTCAGTATCCAGGGAAATAAGATATTGGTGGAGTAGTGGATAGAGCACCAACTCTGGAGTCAGGAGGACCTGAGTTCAAATTTTGGCCTTAGACACTTACTAGCTCTGTGACCCTGGGGAAGTCACTTAATACCCATTGCCTCCAAAAATAAAAAATCAGGATGTTTCAGATTCTAGGTGCAGAGAATGGTATAAGCTAAGAAATAGAAGTAACAGTGCTGACTGTGTTTGTGGAACATAGTTAAGTTTGATTGGGAGATAGAGTATTTTAAAAGGGAGTAATGTATGACTTAAGCTGATAGATACCTTGGAACTGAATTATGAATCATTTTAAATTTCAGGCCACAAATTTTGATTTTGATTCAGTATACAGTAGAGGAGCTACTCAAGATTTTTAGGCACCTTATCAGATTAGTATATTAATTAGGAAAACTAACTGTACTGGTATAATTGAGACAATGGAGAGAT